TTTCTGTGATTCTGTGATTCTGTGAAATCTAACTGCTTTCCAAGCCCTCTGCTGAGGCCACCTATGACATATTTTTGAGCAATGTGTATCTATCCATGAAAGTCTTACACAGAACTTTCAGTCATTTTGTATAATTTTAAAATATTACCAGCCATGATTTGCACAGAACAGAATACTTTTTATTCTGCTACCTGTCTGCTGACCTATTCTGTCCTCTTGCACATACACGATTGTTTGTTACTTCCCTCCGTGGTGAGCTTTTAACTTCTGGTTGCTTTATGCCCAGCAACTGGAGTGCTGCAGGTAACTGGGCGAATCAACCGAGATGCCCTTCCACTGTGGCTCCATCCTAATGTTTCAGTGATACTCCGGGTGGAGGACAGTCCCAGCGGTGGTCACGCCAGCGAAATGGAGATCACGATCATTATTGATGATATCAATGACAACCCACCAGAATGCAATCCTTCTACCTTCAGGTATTGAGGCTCTTCATTACCTTAGTGCTGCCTTGTTGCCCCAGACCAGTGTGCGGTCTAGAGCACATCAGTTAGAGTCCCCAAACATACAGTTGGAGGTATAAATCACAGAATGGACATTTATCTTTAAGCCTTTAAAGGTTAGTGTTCCCTGTAAGTGTCTTAGGGCACAAACCTCCATTTCCTGACACAGTCAAACTGGAAATTTGGACTAAAAATATCTGTGTATTGTCAGATACTTTATTTATCTTTCTTCCAGATACCTAAACCCTTAGGATATCAGAGCCATGTGTTAGAGAGTTACTTTTCTGACGCATGCATATTTAGGCTCTTACTTTCTTACTTTATGCTAAACTGTGGGGGATCATTCACCAGGGAAAACTTCACAGTCAGTTCTGGAGTTTTATTTTAAACTTCCTGATCTTCTCTTCTAAATCTCTCTGGTGACCTGCATGGTTTTTGTCTAATGCAATCTGTAAGGTCTTCAGAGCCCAGGTCACCTCTTGTTATAGCTGTCTTCTGTGCAGAGTAACTTAGTCATGGACTTTGCTATGGCTATGAATGCTCAGAGACCTTTGTGATGATCAGGTGGTTTATATTTGGAGATGAGGACATAACGTTACTCCATGTTACAGATTAAGTTTGTCATAGAAAGACTGAAGTAAAAATTGTCCATCTGAAGTGTTTGATGTGCCTGAGCTCTGATCTTTCAGGGTACACTGCATGGCATAGTGCAGTTCTTCAGGTGCACTTACAGGAGTTTGATGGTCCTGCAGATAAGGAAGAAATTTTTCACAATGAGGGTGGTGAAACACTGGCACAGGTTGCCCAGAGAGGTGGTAGATGCTCCATCCCTGGGAACATTCAAGGCCAGGTTGGATGGGGCTCTGACCAACCTTGATCTAGTTGAAGATGTTCCTGCTCATTGCAGGGGGGTTGGACAAGATAACCTTTAAAGGTCCCTTCCAAGCCAAACCATTCTGTGATTCTATGATTCTATAAAAATCTAGCATTTCAGGCCAAGAACCTATGCAATGAGGAATTCCCAGTTAGTGGGTAACTGTTTAAATTGCTTGCTCACTATCGAATAGAAATGTCTTGCATTTAAATCACATATTTTATGTGCTGGCTTGAAGAGAATCCAATTCTTCAGAGTGGTGCTTAGTTACAACATCCATGACAATAACACAACAGTCTCTTTGTTACCTAGTGAGCTTAAATTTTGATCTGAAGGAGATAAAAATCTTCAGGGAAAAAGTGCGATCAAATAAAGAACTAGTCTTATAGGGATTGCACAAAGGAACAATATCAGGGCTTAATGGTATTTCAGCTGGTTCTTCATTTTTTTGTATTTAATTCTTTTGATTAAAAAACCCCTTAAATTGACACCCTCTGTCCCCAGTTCCATAATGTGCATCACAGGGACCCTCATTGTCAACAGTAGGGCCAGAAATGCTAGTTTCACAAAGAAGCAGAATGGTCCAGCTGTTAGTTAGGGAGAAAAGAACAAACTTCTCATTAGGAGAACATTATAACATACTGAAGAAATGAATGTTGTAAAGATGTTTTTAAATACTAATTATTAATTGAATTAATCTTGAACATTAAGATCTTGTGGCAGCTTCTGAAGTCTAGCTGAGTTCCAGGTTTATGGTTCAGATCTGGCTAAATGTTTATGTCTTGCCCATTGTATAGGGCTGTTGTCCACCACAGCGTGTGGATCAGATTCTGAGTTCTTTCATCAACTGTTGCCTATTTAGATATAGGATTTCACTTAGAAAATAAACAGAAATCAGTGAGTTCCAGAGGAGAAATATAAGTAGCTCTGATGGGAAACATGTTTGTTTTAAACAGGAAAGAGGCAAATGAAAATATGATTGCTGGGACATTTCTTCTTGATCTTAGAAACTACTGTAAAGATATTGATGTTGATCCATCAAACAATCGATTTAATTTCACTGGATTATCTGGTTTTGGAAGCAATAACTTCGCTTTGGAGTCTACTGGGTCTGGAAGACTTGTGGTCAGTCATTTGTTGCTTTATGTTAGATTGTCTCATTTCAGAAGCCAACTTATGAAATATTATAAATTCTTTGAATTCATTGTCTGTACAAGAAAAAAATAATTACTGTAATTTATGTCACAGTGGGTGTGACGTGGAGAATGACTATTTTGACTGGATGTGAACTACATACCCTTTGATAGGATGCTCTCTATGTATTCTACAGAATTTGGTGATCAGAGAACTGTTTTCTCCAATTTTAAATAAATGCAATAGATATGATTGAAAAAAAAATCTTTTTTAGTGAGTGTGAAGCACCAGCTTTGATACGGATTAACAGAGAAATTTGATGCCATTTCATACCCATTTATTAATGACAGACTGTGGAAGATCCTTGCTATTCAGCAAGAAGAATTGAAATACTTGAGAAATCCCACACTCAGTAACTACTTCCCAGTTTCATTGGTCGGAACTGTAGAACCACTCTGAGTGGTAAATTTTCACAGAAGTGTGGTGGGATTTGCACTTGTGTTATTTTGCATGTCGAAAGATGGGTTCCTTATGCTGACAGCTGCTGGCATGTTTGCATTGGGCAGAACCCCCACCAGCTGCTGGACATGTATAGTGGTAGTTGTTTAGTCCCTTTAAAAAGAACTGTGGACAAATACAGAAAAAGGGAAACACAACAAAAAATAGGCATTCTGTCTAAAAGACAAGAGTGCTACAGGAGTAGTAAAACAACTTTGTATGGCTTACTTTAATTTTTGATCTGAGTCAATGAGCACTGCCCTTAGCTGCTTCATCTGCCAACATAAAAAGCATTTTCATTGCTGCACAGGACGTGATTGTTGTCAGCCCTTTGATCACCATGTATGCATGTAACAGGTTATCTGAAGCGCCCTGTCCCTGCAGGAATTTCAGAGAATCACAGAATCATTAAGGTTGGAAAAGACCTTTAAGATCATAAAGTCCAACTGTCAACCCAACACCACCATGCCCACTAAACCATGTCCTGAAGTGCCACATCTACACGTTTTTTGAACACCTCCAGTGATGGTGACTCCACCACCTCCCTGGGCAGCCTGTTCCAATATTTGACCACTCTCTCAGTAAAGGGTTTTTTCCTAATACCCAATCTAAACCTCCCCTGGCACAACTTGAGGCCGTTTCCTCTCGTTCTATCGCTAGTTATTTTCCCTGTAGACGATAAACAGAGGGTGCCTGTGCTTTAGTCCTGCTGCCCCAGAGTGTATGAGGCTCCTACAGAAAGACAGAGGGCTCAGGAGATTAGGATTTAAATCTGCTTGAGCCACCACTTAGTAACAACTTGGCTCCCGGATAAACACTTGTGGCTGAACCTGATACCTTTAATACATGTCTGCAGGCGTGAGCTCAAGGAGTTACTATTACTATTTAGCAATAGCAGATTCTTGTTGATCCAACAAAGGGCACAGCAAATAGCCAGCTCATTACATGAGCTTTGACTTAACCAGGTAAAAGGCCAAAACCTTATGATCCAACTTCCTGCACTTCAGGGGAAGATATTTTGTTGGCAGAATAAGAGAGTTTTGAATTACCAAGAGACACCAGAGCGTGAACATGTAGAAAAAGCCTGGAATTCAGTCCTGTAATTGATTAATAGCCTGTTTTACTCCTACAGGGCAATTCTGTGTATCCAAGGGGGAGACCACACTTACAGAACACTGGAAAAAAGTAATTGCCATCATGTGTATTGTCACTTTATGTAAGGAAGTGTAAATACAATTGTGTTTCTTTTTATTTTAGATAACTGGAAGTATTGATTTAGAAAACCCAGCTTATCTAGGAGTTGAAGTTTATTCTTTGACTGTCAGGGTACAAGATATTGCCTGTCCTGACTACTCAAGCAAGTATCCCTCTTACACTTCTTTTGATATTTTCCTGTGCTGTAACAGCATGGAGAGAGGAATACCATATGTATTTTGAATATATGCATGAGAAAATTTCACAGCCATACTTAACTATGGTTTAATCTCCTGTTATATTTCCAGATATCATCTACATTTACATCAGGATAAAGCCAGTGAATGAATTTTTTCCAGTCTTCAGTAATTTATCATATGAATTTAATGTTCCAGAAATTACTAAAGGTACAGTAAATAGCACATACATGATAGAAATAATGTTGTCGTGTTGATAAGTATCTTTTTGCTCCAAATGTATTTTCATATATTTGAATGAGGAGAATGGCTCAAACTTGCAGTTCAACCAGGGTCTCACCGTACAACCACCTACTACCCTTAAATAGACAAAACTGGCAACAAGTCCAATTGTACAGATGGAACCTGAGACACAGATAAATTCAGCAATTGTACAAGAAATCTGTGACAGAGCCAGGAAATGAACTCAGAGGTCTTGTTTTAGACCATCTTTCTGCTCTTACTAAATTAGCCATTTGGAGGGACTGTAATGGTGCAAAGAAACCTCTATAGTCTGATACAGATGAGTGAGGACTCCCTTGGCCCAGGCATGGTGCAGGATGGTCACCCCACCAGCCCCTTTGGCCCAGCTCACTCTGGCTGCAACAGGTGCCCTGAAGATGAGGTGGGATGGGAGTGCTTCAATGGGAGGCTGCACTCAGCCAGCTGGCAGCCAGAGCAGCTCCTCGTGCCTGGAGCCAGGGTCCTTCCTCTTCCTGCAACAACCCAGGACCAGCGGCTGCAAACATGGCTTTAAAACTGAATCTGTTGAAACTGTTCATGTGCTTGACTCCCATCTCAGCACTCTTCCTGTCCCCTGGTGAGGCTTGCATCTCAGGATGTTTGCAGAGCAGTGCCACACCGCCTTACCTCCTTGTGTGCCAGGTGTGACCACCAGCCAGCTCTGTGCTGGGCTGCTCAGTGCACAGAGGAATTGGCATGGGAATGGCATCTTCCTCAGCTTCAGAATCCCCCTCATATGACCTGATGTACTGAACACAGGCCTTCTGTCCCAGGACCTCACTTACTGGCTTTATTCTGTTGTCTGAGGAAAAAATGAGAGGTACATTAGATATATGCTGTATAAATCTTGACCCTTATTCTGAACTTCTTAGGGTCACACAAAAATTGAAGTTGGAAGGGACATCTGGGGGTCTCAGGTCCATCTTGTGCTCAAAGTGAGGATAGTTTCAAAGCTAGATCAGGTTGCTTGGGGCCTCATCCAGTTAAGTTTTGAAAATCTCCAAGGATGGAGACTCCACAGCCTGTCTGAGCCTCTGTTCCAGCTGAGCAACCTTCATTCCAGATAATTTTACCTTATACACAGCTGGAATTTCCTGTGTTGCAGCTTGTGTCCATTCCCTGTTGTCCTTTCACTGTCTCCTTCTAAGAAGAGCGTATCTTGGTCTTCTATATGATCACCATTTAGGTAGTGGAGCACAACCAAATCCCACCTTCATCTTTCTTTCTCCAGCCTGAGCAAACTCATCCCCACCAGCCTCTCCTCCTGCATCCTCTGCTCAACCCCCTGACATCTTAGTGGTCCTTTCCAGCCTTTGTCCAGTTTGTTAGTGTCTCCCTTGTACCTGGGCCCCCAAACTGGTCACAGGTAGCTTTATGAGTGCTGAGTGGAGTGGGGTAGTCACTTCCCACCATGTGCTCGTAACACACTTGTTAATACAGCTCAGTACGAGGTCTCCATTCCCTCTCATGTAGAACTTCTCCACCACGGCCTGGGGCCCTTCCCTGCAGAGTTGCCGCCTGCTCAGTCAGTCTCTGCCGGTGCTGACACACGGGCTTGTTGTGGCCCAGGTACGGGACTTGGCGTTTGCCTGTGCTGAGCTCCACGACTCCTGTGGGCTCGTAGCTCCAGCCTGCTGGGCCCCTCTGAACGGCAGCCCTGTCCTCCAGCATGTCCAGCACTGCCCCAGGCTGCTGTTACTCACAGGCCTGCCCCGACGGCCATGTCACTGAGCAGGATGTCCGGCTGCATCACTGCGTCTGAGCGGGACGTGGTGAAGCTGCCCATGAAACTCCAGGAGATTTAGCAGCCAGATAATCCAGTATCTGCTTGAATTCATCAAACTGTTCTGGCCAGGGCAGGCTCAAAGCACGGGTGAAGGCAGCTGTGGTCAGCAGACCTGTGGGCTTTGTGGTGCTTCTGTGTCCATTTGCCTAAGCCAGGAGGGCAGGGATGGGGGGAGGAAAAGGCGTGCTTCAAGCAGCCCCGCTGCCCTGCCCACAACCTCCTCTCCCCTGCCGTGGGCAAAGGAGCAAGCCCAGATTTCCAGCCCTCACCCTCAGGTCTCTGTTTTCTTCCTTCTCTGGTCAGGAGGATCTTGCCAATGTCCAAAGGTCTGCAAAATTTGCTCCTGCCTGCCCTGTGGAGAAGCCGTCATCGGCCATGGCTGAGTACGGCAAAGCTGCAGCCAGCGTGGGGACGCACAGCCTGGGCGGGAGCTGGAGGGACTGGGGAGGCTGGGGCAGGGGCGGCTGGCTCCCGGCGGGGTCTGCCAGGCAGAGGAACCCGGGCAACCCTGTCTCCTGCAGCCCAAACTGCCAGGAAAAGCAAGGAGCGCTAAGGGGGAACAAGGAGGCACAAGATGGCCACTCAGCAGTCAGAGGACCCTGACCTTCAGGGGTTCATACCAGCATCTTGGATTGCTCGGCAGCCTGTTCTTCTTGCCCAGCTTTTATTTCTATGGTGCATGGATGAAGCTTCTCTTTCTACATTGTTTCCCAGCAGACACAATGCAGTGAATTTTGTGGGATTTCCTATTCTGTGTGTGCCTCCTCATCCCACTGATGTGTACCTTGGAAATAAAATACTTGAAACCTATCTGTGACATGGATGTGCTTGTAAACCTCTCTGTGTTGGCCACAGAACTTTGCTGGATACTGAGACTATCAAGAGAAATGTTTTTTGGACTCAGGCTTCTTTTTATTTTGGGCTGAGTTGACATTAACAGGGTGCTTGCTATCTCTGTATCAAACAGGAACCAACAGTTTGCAGTAGGGCTGGAGCTCACAGGGTCAGGAAGGAAAAAAAAAAAGCCAACTTTTCACTTACATCCTCCTTCTGTCTTACTCTGTGCCTGTGGACTATTCACCTCGTATATCCCCAGATCATGAGTATGCATTTAGCATTGAATCAATGTCTGCAGAGATGGGCGTGCACAGTCCCATCTTTGTTCTCACAGTTTACAGCACTGCCATTTGTAGTTTGCTTCATAAATGCTCGGGCATGAGAGTAATTCAAGCTGCTTTTCAAACAAACACCTCGGAAGGAACAGCAGCAACTCTCACACCTTTGCTTTACTCTTTTGGGGTGAAAATTTTTAGTTCAGTTTCATCAAGTTTTGTTTGGAACAAGTACTCTGTACTTCCTTTTCCTTAAAATGTTAACAAAATGTGGATTTTCTGTGTCTCAGTTGGATCCAGCATTGGAAGAGTGAATGCCAGAGACAAGGACTGGCCACCCAGTGCCATCACTTATTCCATTGTAGCTGGAGGAGGCACCAGGGATTACACAAATATCTTCTGGATCAGCCCAACCAAAGGAGATGTGAAGATTTTAGCTAGGTTAGACTATGAAACGACTCAGAAACACATTCTTACAGTACAGGCCTCAGACCAAGAGAAGACTGCGACAGCATCTGTGAGTAAATCCACTCTACTTCTCTGCCTTTATCTACATTTTTCTTTCTTCCTCCTGACAAGAACAGTAAGACATTGGGCAAAGCACTTTGGTCTGTAAAAGGCAAGTCCATCCCTCCTTAGGGCTGTGTATTAGTCAGATGAAAGAGGTGGTGTTCACTCAGTCTTGTTTTATTTCTTACAAAAAGGATTAAAGTAGTATTTTTATATTTTTAACTCTGTGGTTTTTTGTTTCTCAGTCTTTTTTTCTGATTTTACCTGGGCAGTGAAATTGTTTTCTGTGCCTTAGACAATTTAAGATATTCTTTATGGCTACATATGTGCCGGAAAATAGAAAAAGGAAAGGGTCATGAGGCCAGGTATCACAACCTAACTTTAGCCATGCTTAGTGCCAAGTCCTTTTTGGACCTTGTGTAGTGCTCCTTGGCCCTCAAACATACTTTTGATTTTGTATGTGATGTTTTTTCACTGCAAAGTGCCCGAAGTAATGTGAGAATCGGGTTGCAGCCCATCAGAGTTGTGTTTTCATGGGGTGGGACAGAGGGGATGTGCTGCATACCCTGAGGATGGCATGAGCCTTTGGGCAGCCTCTTGGGATAATGTCAGAAGGCCCATGCAGTACAGCTGTGTCCCCATGGCCTACTGGAGATGGACTCTTGTATGTGCCTTCCCCTGACCGTGATCTAGTTTTGTCCCCAATGGTGCTATCTGGCATTAGCCAAGAGCATGTCAGGGACCATGATAACATTAAACAGTAGGGTTGTGCTCAAGTTTGCTGCCTGGATCTATTTTATTCAGAAGAAAAAATATAGATGGCATATCCACAAAGGTATTTTATAGTCACTTCTTTCAAAGGATCCTGGTGTTCTTTACATGCAGACTCCTTTTTACTCCTTTTCACATCTTCTCCCTCGTCACTGCCTTACATTTGATTTTTGCACAGCAGTTGGGGGGAATATAGGTAGTAGGCCTGCTTTCTATTGCAGCCAAGCACCACCCACGGAGTTGCTAAGTGGGAGGTATTTAATCTCTTTATCACCTATAATATTTCAAGGAAGGAATATTTAAGGTAAATTTAGCATCAGGAGTTTTTAACGATGACAAGTTTATCTGTTGCCTGTTAAAGACCAACACACATTAGAGGAAAGAGCTTTGAGAAGGGTAACCCTTTTCTCTCAGCCAGCTAACCCCAGGTGACATTAAACACATCTGCAGAAACCTGGGGTGCTGCCAGCCATCCAGAAGGCCATTACCAGCATTTGTCTCTCACTGGGAACAGTCAGTCTATAAGGAGGCTTCTTTCCTTCCATGGATCATGCTCTGAATTATTATTAAATATGCTAAGAAGCCAAACTAATGACTGTGAAGCAATTTGAGAGGTTTGAAAGGAAGTTTAATGAATACCTGGTCTATTATTATTTCTCATTCTTGCTATGACACACTTCAGGTAATTCAAATAGTCAGACACATCAACTCAAAACCACTGTGGTTTTGGAAGATGGTTTGGGTTAAAGAACCTGTTCCCAAAAAAGTGCTGATCATAAGAAGAAGCGAAGGTCAAATGATCATAGACATTTTCTGGTAGAAACTAGATTGGAAGGGAGCTTCATTGCTCTTCAACTGGTGTTGGTCAGAAGCGGAAAATGGGCTAGGTCAAACAGTTTCTGAAGTTAATAAAATTCTGGCTCAGCCCAGTGGAGGAGCTTCAGCTTGCTACTGCTCTTTTCTTTCAGGTAACTGTCAATGTTTTGGAAGTAAATGATGAAGAACCAGTTTGTTCACCTAATTTCTATTCATTTCAAATCCCAGTCAGCTTAGCTGTTGGGACCAATATTAATGGCTTCAGGATTGAATGTCAAGATCGTGATTCTGATCCCAGGTCTTTCCGTTACTTCATTAATGAAGGTACCGTGTCATGGTGTGTGAGCTGGCAGCAGTGCAAAAATTCATAAATTCTGATTGTTTGCTTTGATTTGTAAATAAAAGTATTGCACAGTTTATGTGCTATTTCTCAGGGAGAGCTAGTTGTGATCCACAGGTTTCACACATCATTACTTTGCTGCTTACCAAAAGAGATGTGTCTCCACAAGTTAGCTACTGGTGCTACCACATAGAACAATTCCCTTGCAAGATTGGATTGCCTACCATGTTAACTGGGAATTAATTACATAATGGACAAGGACTTCAGAAGAATAAGCTGGAATGATATGCAGCGTCAAATTTCACTTCCAGTTACAGCTGAGTAAATCTTGAGAAACGATGGTGGGTTCTGTTACTCTGCATACCTCACCTTTAGGTGCTGGTACACCATTCGAAACAATGGAGCAAACTTGCATGTCCTAGGTCCATGCTGTATGCATTAAACCCCTCTTTTAAGAACGTGTGTTTGAATCTAGTAATCAACTGCATCCACTTGGAGAACTGCTGCGGTATGGGATGACATTCAGCTTCACAAAAAATAGAACACACTCTTTTGGGGCAATTTCTTTTTTTGTTGCTGAGATGACCACTAAGAAGGAGGAAGCAGATTGTACAGGTGCCAGTAAAAAGTTGTGAGCATGAAAAGAGAGCTTCTGTTCTATTCCAGCCCCTTAATGCCGCAGAGGAGCTCTGCAGCAGTGGTATTTACACACAAGCCCATACAAAGGCTGTCTTTGTATCAGTAAAGCAGGGCCTGGCCACAGGTCCAGCGTTGTCCCTCACTGGTAAAGCATTAAGTTTGTTTGCTGGCTTGATTTTGGTCTGTGCCAAGCAGTACATTCCCAAAGAGATCCTGGGCATTGCTGAGGGACCCGGGACCTTGCCCAGCAGGTGCTCTGTATGGGCTGACCAAGGGTGAAGGCTCAGGGATTTGGCTGTACAGACATGAGCTCTGTCATGCAGTTGGCCTCTGAGCCACAGAGCAGGCCATGGCCTTAAAAAGTCCCTTTCAACCCAAAGATTCTATGATTCTATGATTCTGTTGTGTACAATAGACATGGCCTTCAAGGTCACTTCAACTCTGGAACTTCAACTTTTGGAACAGGCTGCCCAGGGAGGTGGTGAAGTCACCATCACTGGAAGTGTTCAAAAAATGTGTAGATGTGGCACTTCAGGACATGGTTTAGTGGGCATGCTGGTGTTTGGTTGATGGTTGGACTTGATGATCTTAAAGGTCTTTTCCCACCTTAATGGTTCCATGATTCTGTGATTTTGAGCTCTGTGGGGCAAGAATAGCAAACCTGAAGCACAGCTGGTGCCTTTTCATGGCTCTGATCTCTCCTGCCTGTGTTCTGCTCAGATGCTAAGAGCCAGAGCTCATCTGCCTGCAGCCCAGGCCACTAGCAGATCTCCAGTTACATGGACAGAAAATGGGGGGCTGAGGGGACAGCATCAGTGAACTCTCATCTCTGCCTCCACAGTGCAGATGAAGCCCTGGAGGCAATTAATATCCTCCGAGTCTTTAGCTGTCTTCTGGGGGACCTGTTCAAAGGCCTCTGCCTCTGGGCAGAGGGAGGAGCCATGGAGAGGGGCTGGAGGGGCATCTGGAGACACTGGTTATGTCCCTGTGGCCTAGGGGCCACTCCAGGGTCACCCCAATAGTGGGAAGTGGCCAGCAATAGTGTAGGGCCCTTGACCCGGCTGGGTGCTTCTGGATGTTCTCCAGGCTGTAAGGACAGGTCATTCGGGTGACCTCTTGTGTGCCCTATGGCTCTGAAGTGTTTCCACAGCAGCCTCTCAGCTGTGTCCCCACAGATGGTCTTATTCCATATTTTAATGCTTTTATGACTATATTGTTTTATCTGATTTCATATGATAGCAAACAAGGTCAAGGAGCCATTCTTATCAATGATATTTCACTGCACAGGTGTATAGTGATCCATAGCAAGTTGTGAACAGAAACTGATCTTTTTGCTTATTCCAACCATTTACTTTATTGTGGGATTGCTTTTCTCTTTTATTGCTTTTTTTTTGGCATTATTTTGGTTTTTTGCTACTGCTTGCAGGCAATGTAAACAATCATTTCATCTTTTCACCAAGTGCCGGCTCCAACATATCACGGCTGATTCTTGCATCAAGGTTTGACTATGAGAGCGGACTTGATACAAACTGGATTTACAGACTGCGCGTCTATATAACAGACGACAATTTACTATTTGCCAGGGACAAAACTACGCACCTAATTAATACTGGAACGGTGACTTTAAGCATCAGAGTTATCCCGAATCTACCTACTGTCATTGCCACAACAGTAAGTTCACTGAAATTTATATCCACTTCTGTGGTTCTTTCACGGGCTTCTCTCCATGGAAGCAAAGAAAAGAGGGTAGATGTATGCAAAAGAGAAACAAAAACCTACAGTGGGTCCAGTCCTGGGAAGTGCTGGGCCCTGTGCTCTTACACTGAAGCCAAAGGTGGTTGATGCGCTCAGCATCATGAAGGATTGGGTCCCAGGTACAGAGTCATAACATATGTTTTGTATTTCAGTTTCTAAAACAAAAAGGGCAAGTAGCCAAAGGACTGGGCATACTGCCATTACCACGTAACTGGAAAGTTAAAGATTTTGGCAGCTTTATTAATAAGGAAAGAATAGGGGTTAACCTTTGCTTGGAACCTTAAAATTACCTCATGCATTTTGCACTACCTCTTTTTTTATTCATAGCTATTCACTCCACCAGCTGCCTTGCACTTGAATGTGCTTCTTTAGCAGTGGAACGCATTAAGCCGTGCCTAGCAAAGTTGAAATAGGCAACAACAACACCAACAAGAAATCCTCATCACTTGGAAGGGGCTTTTTACCACCCCTGAGGTTACCCGTGTGTAAAACCTTGAGCTGCCTGTCAGGAATTGAAGTGGTTGTGCACAGCCTCAGCACGTCATTGAGGTTTCAGCAGGTTTCAGACAGGCAAAGCAAGAGGAGTGGGATGGGTCTTTCCTGAGCTCCCTGCCTGCATGGTTGTCCATAGCTGAGCTGGGGAAGCCTGCACAGCTTTTGGCAGCCGGGGAGGGATCTGGCCTTGCACAGTCTGTGGAGCTGTGGGCCTGTGTCCCAGCAATATAATCTACTCCTCTGCACAACCATCCCAGGCAAGCTCTGGCTCACCAGTTTCATTTTGGAACTGATTTCCATCAGGCTGGTGTATGACATGAGGAGAGCTTGCTTTCATCCTGCCTGCAGAAGCGACACAGCTCTGTCCCCATCCTTGTGCCAGTCACTGCCTTCATCCCTTGCTGCACCATCTCTCCATCATCCAGAGTCCATCCATTTTCTGCCTGCCTGCAGATGGCATTACCCTTTTCACCCTTGCATGCAGGAATGAAAATATGAAGATGTTGGTGAAGGGGTGAAAGAGCTATTCATTGTAAAACGGTCTGGATCTGCGAGGGGCTACTAGTAACTGAGCCAGAAGCAGGGGATGCTGCAAACAGCACATGCAAATCTGGACACTCTACTATGAAAATGCTTAAATCCAAACTTGCAGGCTGATTAATAACCTTGTTACTATCTAATGCTCTGTTGGGAAGGAATAAATGGTTTTCTCACAGCCTTCTCCTCCCCCTACATGATGTGGAAACAAAAAGTTAAGCTGAACAAGAAAATTTGTTCTGTATTTCTTTCCCATGCTTTACCGCAAATACAAACAGTCTAGACCACATACCGCAGCGTTACATCTGCCTCCCCAGAGATATCAGCCTTCCACTTTCAGTCTGTTTTCCAGAAGAGCACTTCCATTACAGCAGCTTCTCCCATCACCACTTGTTACATGTGTTCAGTGCAGTAACTTGATGATTCAGATGCTGAAAGGCTGGTAGTGTAGAAAAGAAGCCCCATCGCAAAAAGTCACTTGTGACTTCAGTCCCAGTGAGCATGGAGTGGTGGTTGTACTCTTGAGATTATCTGAGAGTTTCTTTAAGGATTGGATGTACCTTTTTGTGCAAGGCTAAATAAGTTATTTTAAAGGTATCTTTAAACAGAAAAGAAATAGATACCCTACTAAATTTCATACACAATGTAATTACAAATGCCTTACAGAAAATTAAATAAAAACTTCAGTGGACGATCAAAACTAACAGTACCACACTAGGTAATGACCCAGGTAGAGCAAATGAGTAATTTCTGATCTGTGTGAGGACGGTTTCATGGTGAGACCTTAATGAATGATTTGCTAGCACCAAGTGCTGTGCCAACTCAGAGCCGTGTCTCCTGGCACTTGGCAAGATGTGGGACATCACAACTGCTCAGAAGTGTGGCTTTCCCTTCTGGAACAAGTCACAAGGAAAAAAAAGTTTAATTTCTTTTTATACAATAACCCAATTCCTTGGGGTTCAACTCCTCTTACAAAGGGGAAAAATGATCGCTGCAGCGAAGATGACCTACTTCCAGTTTTGCTTTAGGTAACAAGAGACCATTATCTCGGTAATGGCAGTATTCCCTGAACGTGCTCACCCTCCAGCAGCGCGCTCACAGCTTCTCAGGCAACCAGAGGCTTTTAAATCCCACCACGGAATGTTTGTTTTAATATAAGACATTGAAACATGATCTGGAACCTCCTTTTTGCATCGTGGGTGGGCTACGTTTCACCTGCCTTTGGTTGCCCCCGGAGCTCGGTGGTCCATCTCAGCCATCTGAGCTGCCTTGGCAGTCAGCAAGCAGGTGCGTGGGACGAAGCGCTGCCTCCAGCAGATGCTATCTCCCTCTGCCCATCCTCTGCAGTGCCCTGGGGCAAGCTTAGGTCAGGTTCAGGCAGATGAAAGGTGCCGTTGGTGTCAGTAACCTCGCAAGTATGCAGCCTTGAGGAACTTTTCTTATCTTGTTTTAAAAGCCTGGCTTCACTGTTGTGACGAAAAGGGAAAACCTCTACTCTGAATCGGCGTGGTACGTGCCGTTCATCATCACCCTCGGCGGTCTGCTGCTCTTCGGCCTGCTGGGGTACCTGGGGTTCCTGCTGGCGACGTGGGTCTGCACCCGCTGCCCTCCGGCAGGCAAAGCATACGGCGCACCTCTGTGAGTCCTCCAAATGTCACCCTGGGGAAGTACCAGCAACACCTGGCAATGACAGAGATAACTCAGGCCTTTCAGCCCTAATGAAATCAGAGAATCATAGAATAGTTTGGGTGGAAGGGACCTTTAAAGGTCATCTAGTCCACCCCACCGCCCCCAAGCCCTGCAATAAGCAGGGACATCTTCAACTAGTCAGCTTGCTCTATGCTTTGAATATTTTATGGCAGTATGCCCTTTGCTGTAGAAAATGCTATTACTGGGTACAGTGATACTTGGTGTTAATGATATGAAATCAAGGAAAAATGTTCATGGAATTTTTTTTCATGGCTTTACTAATAGTTTAACAAATGCATTAGCTGAAGGTAACAGTGGAATTATGACCTCTAAAAGGCAGCTATGCTTGTGAAGCACAGAGTTCGTGCCTGACTATGCTCACCAAAAATACAAATGTTTTTGGTTTGTGTTTGGCTCACTCACTGAGGGAGCTCCCATCTAGGTAGTTACTTGGATGCATTTTCCTCCCTCTCAGCTATGGATCCCAGAGTCCTTTCCAAACCTTGGTGCTCATGCCAAATTTTTTGTTCTGGCAAAACCTCTACAGATTTCTTGGAGTTTTACCCAAGCCCATTGCAAGGCTCTGGCCCATAAAGCTTTGCGGTACCTCTAAGTGCTTATGCTTGGCAAAAGCCATGGAAGCACCTGGGACCGGCTCTGGTTCGTTGTGGGAAGTGGGAGAGATCCTTGCTGGCTGCCTTCTCATCGAGCAGGAGCCAGAGTGCCTCCAAATTGACTTTTTACTTCACGAAAGATAAGCAGCTCTTTAAGTGGGCTGGGCTTTAAAAAAAGGATTTCTGTAGTTATTCTCAGGATTCGGACTTAAATTTAGAAATTATAGTAAATGTAAAGAGGAATATATGACAGTGATTATAATTCAAATGGTGTGTGCAAGGAATTTAGCAATTTGTGATAAAAATTACAAATGAATCTAGCACCATATAGCGTGGCTATTGTTATGATTTATTAATAGGGCAAGTGATTCATTGCGAGCGAGGCTCTCCCATTAAAAAACAATTTCTGTATTTTCAAAAACATTTATAACCTTTCAAATATTTTAAACGGTATTATTTGAGCACATCAGATCCAAAAAAGTGACCTTCCTCCAAGGGTGGAACAAGACGACAATGTTTGAAAATATATTTTTCCAGATTATATAAATCCATCATGGTATCATCAATAAGACTTTATTTTTTTATCATCATCCGTTCTTGGGGAGGTGTTAGAGCAGCGCCCAGGGCTGTTTTCCCGTTTGGGAGCAGCATTAAATGATGCAGGCATTCAGTGAAAACAAACCCAGAAACCAAACAAATCAAGCAAATCCCAGAACTCAGGGAAACACATCCTTCTTGCCAAATGAAAGAGAATAAAGCATGATATTTTTATGTAGGCAAAAGTATGACATTTGTTAACTACACTATTAATATTTTTTCATTACAGGATAAATGCTCCAGGTGCGTACCTCTTTTCTACATTTTAATACTTCACAGCAAGATCTTGTTTACGATTCAGTATAAAATTTGTACAAGAGTACTGAAATGAAATAACCGTGGCTGATTATGAGAGGCCTGCCTAAGTGATTTTATGGTACTTTTGGTCTTCAGATCTATTAACTATTAAGTAAAAATCAAATTTGGAGTAGCCTGGTATTCTGGCATTGATGCTAAAGAATTACTGTATTTTTCACATGCAATTCATATGTTCTCTGTTAAAAAGCAGTCCCATCCTTCTACAGCACCTTCAAGAGTCCTCTCCACTCCAATTCCCTCTTCTCTGATCCCTTCATTTACTGCCTTGACACTATTACTTCATGTATCTGAAGACTTATTTTAAAGCATTGGTGCTTTTAAAGGGGTTTGTATAACTTAGCAGGGGTACAAGTTGCACATTAAAAAAAAAGTGGTTTTTTAAGCAGTCTTGTTCCTTTTAGTCCCATTAGGTTTCTCCTAGCAAGCATGGCTCATATGGGCTCAGTAAGACCATGCTTTTATAACTCCCCCTCCTCAAGCAGTATCTCCCAGCTTCAAAAAAATACATGACCAACAAAACCCAACAAACTTAGCTGTTCTCTTGGTTGCCAAATTTGAGACATTTCAGCATTGTCTGGTTTCCAAAAAATGGATGCTTGGTGCTTTCTGAAAAACTGGGCAGCAAAGGCCAGACAGAACAGGTTTCCCATCAGTACTCAGGTTGAGAACCATCTGCAGCACTTCAGAGTATTGCACGCCTGGGTGTAACGCTCGTTGGTGGCCAGGCATACAGTTCTCCAAAGAAAGGCCATTAAACAAGTTGGCAAGGAGCAAGCAATAAGAAATCATAGCAACTAGTTGGGTATCATCCACATATCCGTGCTGTCGAGACGCCCGTGGCACTGCTGCTGTGTTTGTTTGCATGTGGGATGAGTTAATAGTGTGGTAACTTCACACGTAACCAAACTGTTCTTCAATCTGAATTTTACTTGACTGGATCTGCAGCACTTCCCTGTTTTGTCTCCAAGTGCATGTTTGAGTGCACAAGATTTGCAACTACAAACATTCCTGGAAAAAAAAAAATCTACATTTGTAGTTCAGATATCCCCAAAGGTGAATTTCTATATCTGTTTATATAATTTAGGAAGGTAAATTTGTTAAAGAAACCATTGTTATTATTAATTACTGAAGGAATAAGGCTTTTCAAGGCTAAAATTTGATTAGTCATTGACAACTGTGGATTCTCACTCCAAAATGCTATGAAGAAGTTCACTTTTCAAATAGTATGGGAGATCATCCTTTGAAAAGAAATCAGGCTCATGTGAGATGCCTCGGAAGCTGAATACTAAGAATGTCTGTTTGAGGAAATTTTGTCTTTAGTGTCTATAGTCACTGTCAGAAAAATCTGATTCTTTACAATGTGCATTTGCATTTCCTTTTCTTTAGAAAAGAAGAAACCTAAGAAAGAAGTGGTTGTGGTAAGTACTGCCGACCTCAAAACAAACCCCATTTTGCCCAGAACTGTCATGCAATATGATTGTGGGACCCTTTCTGTGAAAGAGGTCTGTTTTCCAAAGAGAATGTCAAAATGATTGGCGAGGAAAAACTGACTGCCCTCAAATGCAAAACACTTCAGTGCTTCAGCCAACCTCTGTATTTGGCAGCAACACTGGGTGCGAGGGATGCTCACCTGCACTGTGGCCCCTTTGCTTCCAAGTGCGGAATTCTCCAGCCTCTCTGGCAGCCCTGTACGTGGGAGCCAGAGAGGTTGTGCCCGGAGCACTGTCAAGGAGACTCGCTACAGCCGCAGAGGCAGGAGGACAAGTGCCCCAGCTTCACTGATGGTAATGTTACGCTGCTGAGACACCACTGACCTCTGCAGCTAACCCTGACCTGCCTGAGTGCAACCAGGAAGGTACACAAGGGTACCCAAGCTGTAAAGAGTGTGGTCTTGATAAGCTGTTTGCAGCAAAATGCCTTAGTTATTTCCACTGTAATAGATGTTTCTTCGGTCCTAGATTTTGGGGCTCCTTCCTTTCTCAGAGCCATAATAGCATAAAGGCTGCAAGACACTTTCATTAGTGTACTCTCCCTCCGCAAGTTCTTCAGATTCCCAAGCCTCTTCTGGGTGGAGGTGACCCTCTTGTGGTTACACACATGGAGGCATTTAGCATGTCAGACCTTATTAATTTTCCTTTGAACATCTAGTGGCAACACCCTACACCACAAATGGCTTTTTGTTGCCAGTTTTGATTAAACCCAGCCTACAGGAATGCAATATGCAGGTCATACAAATCCACCTCCATCCATGTAGGTCACTGTGTCCAAGTCACTACTCCTCCTTCTTACTTAGCTAATTCACAGGATTCATTTCACATTTTGTGTCTCTTCACAGACAATGACAAAGCTAAACACTGTCTTTGATGGAGAAGCCAGAGACCCAGGTAATAAAAAGCAATTAACAGAGGATATGAATATTTGGCTGGAAACAAACTGGATTAGTTGATTTAAATATGGTTTGACATTTGCTTTTCATATTCCAGGTTTGCTGTTTCCAAGGAGAATGGGAGTTATATTTCACAGATAGTGAAAATCAAGACAGTGCCCTAGCAACATTTCTAATGGTAGAATATACTTTTGTCCCTTGAAAGCACACATCCGACGGCCAGATTATTCACTGCTCCTCTGCTAAATCTGAATGTATGGATCTGGTATAGGAAGGTGGGAGAGGAGGAGGAATTGGCTGCAAGCCTCCTGCTCTGATGCTGTCATGGCTACGTGGTTTCACCCTTCCCATGTTTGGGAAATGGCCAGCAGATTAATGTAGCTGCAGATGTACTGACTTTGACTCTGAAACCTCTCTCTGGATGCAGGGTGGGAGGGTGAGTTACTTGTTCCTGTGCAAACCTCCTCCCTTGTAGCAACAGTGCTTTGCTGCTGTTTATCTAGAGCTCGAGCATCGCTGCTTGGGGAGGAAAGGGAAGACCATTTGCTTTTAGATACAGTTGTGGTGGCATCAGCTACCGACTGTGCCATCAGGCTCCAGCTGTGCTAACTCTGAGCATACCTGATTAACCAGCTGGACACCCAGCAAATGTGAAATTAAGGTGAAAGCTAGGAAAACCAGGATGACCCAGGAGGTGTAGTGCTTATCCCCTTCCTCAGGTGAACAGCCACTGTGCTCTGCAGCAGGGTTCATTACGGAAAAATGTTTTGGTTTTTCTTTTAAGATTTGATCCACCTTACCTCATCCCCCTGCACCACAGCCCCTGCCTGAGCCCCGCACCGCGATGCTTGGCCTGGCATTAGGGTGCCCAGCCCTGTGTCTAAATGGTTGAGGGCCCCAGCATGGAGACGGGGGACTGGTAAAATATGACACAGTCAGTCAAAATAGGTCTTTAACCAATAGATCTGAAAATAGGTCCAAAACAATAGGTCTAAAAATTATCCAGAAGAAAACAGGCTTGTTTCAAGGCTTGGATTCATCTGGCCAAATTTCCACCCAAGTGCCTGTAGCTTGTGTTTTTTATTAGCTGGCTTGGAGCTGTTGGATGCTGTGAGCTAATAGGAAACACCAGGCACAGGGACTTCAGTAGAATTTGGGCAAACAAATGAGACCCTACTGTTCAATTAAGCCCGTCCACAATGCTGCTCAAGGCCAGTTTGGTCCAGGTCCAAGCCCACCTGCTATTTATAAAGAGATCTGGAGGGATGGGCTCCAAAGTCCCTGCTCTTTCCCCTATGTAACTGCATTTGTAAAATATTAAACATGGATGTTCTCTAGGCCGTTGCAAGGGCTGCTTCCCGGTGTTTTTGCAGGATGGCTGGTGGCTCCCTTCCTCAGCAAACCTGACCACACCAGACTTAAGGATATCTGAGCCCATCCAAACTGCCCCCCGGAGCCATAGTGTTTGTATCATGCCTGACACAAACGTTACGCTATAACACAGCTTTGTGGTGTCAGCAGAGAAATCTCTCCCCTCCATGGCTCATCCCAAACCCTAGGGGATCAAGTGTTGGCAATTTGGAAATGATATTTAATAATTCCAAGGACATGATCTGTTGTATATGATTAGGAGGGATGATCAGGAGCTGTTTCCTGATCTGGGCTGCTTTAACATGCCTGCCTTCTAAGCAGTCAGAAAAAATAACATGAAAAGAGATCCAGTTTCATCCTTAATTGCTCAAATTCTGTTAACGTGTCAGAAACCATTAATTCTGATACAAACTGTAACATGTAGTAACATGTAGCCACCATTTCTTTCCAGGCCTTAATGGTCTTTTGTTTGTCTCATGTTAATAATGTTTAATTACAAGAAGTGCCACTATAGGTCCCGATTCTCTGTCTCTTTAGCAAGAGACAGTGATTTAGACTGTGAGGCAATCACACTGGACGCATGGCAATTTTTCCACCTATCTCTAGGTAGTAAATGAAGGAGAAGATACTTGCTTTTAATGTACAAGTAGAAATTACCCATAAAATCTGAAGAGGGCCAATAATCTTTCTAACAAGGAAAGATAGCCATGTGCGCTAAACAACCCAAATTTAACAATATTTTATATATATGTACTTACACAAGTAGAAAATACGTAGTATTTCACTCTATTAATGACAATGTGCACAGCAAGCCTGGAGGAAAGCATTTTGTGCAAATGGAGAAGCACTGCATATAGCCAAAACTCATTGGGGAACCCAGATCCCCAAATATTGGGTCAACCTAGACGACCTGGCATGGTCTGGAAGATGTGTGCAGGATATTGTGCTCCTAGCAGGTTTTGCTACCTCAGGTAGGCAACTCTATTTGAAAAAATAGGCACAGACATAGACAATGGCCTTGCTCAGCATGGCCAAAGGCGAAAGTTTTGGGAGAGTTAGTCCTAACAGGTGACGACTATGGATGTGTTAGTTACACTGCCCATGTTAACCCATGGTAGCCGTAACTTTGATAGAGGTAAAGGATGATAAGAAGGTCCTTTTTTTTTGAATAGGAATGTTTTGAATATTCTTATTCCCCAAACTGCAGAGCCAGTTTCTATACTGCTAGAATAGCATCTCCCCAGAGCGGCCACCACGACGCCCAGGTCCCCATGGTCACTTGCGGAAACGAGGCTTTCCCTCTGGGGGCTACCTCCCCAGCTCAGCTGATTTTCCAGGTGCTTCAAGTTTCTCATTTCAACCCATCCTGAGGAGAACTGTCACGTCTTAATCTGCTAAA